CTCCAAGGCCATAAGGAATTTCTTTCACCGAAAGGCCTAGCAATTCAGAATTTTTTCTTTTGTTCCTAACGACATTTTTTCTTTCCTTAATTTCCTACTTTGCATTTCTGAAAGGCCTAAAGAATTATTCACCGCCATATAGGAGATTCGATATTACATAGCAATTCAGCAATCTTTTCTTTGTTCCTAACGACATTTTCCTATCTCTTAATACTTTGCTTACTTTCTGAAAGGCCTAAGGAATTTCTCCAGCATTCACCGCCATATAGGAGATTAGATATTACATAGCAATTCAGCACTCTTTTCTTTGTTCCTAACGACATTTTCCTATCTCTTAATACTTTGCTTAAAGGCTTTCTGAAAGGCCTAAGGAATTTCTCCAGCATTCACCGCCATATAGGAGATTAGATATTACATAGCAATTCAGCAATCTTTTCTTTGTTCCTAACGACATTTTCCTATCTCTTAATACTTTGCTTACTTTCTGAAAGGCCTAAGGAATTTCTCCAGCATTCACCGCCATATAGGAGATTAGATATTACATAGCAATTCAGCACTCTTTTTCTTTGTTCCTAACGACATTTTCCTATCTCTTAATACTTTGCTTACTTTCTGAAAGGCCTAAGGAATTTCTCCAGCATTCACCGCCATATAGGAGATTAGATATTACATAGCAATTCAGCACTCTTTTCTTTGTTCCTAACGACATTTCCTATCTCTTAATACTTTGCTTACTTTCTGAAAGGCCTAAGGAATTTCTCCAGCATTCACCGCCATATAGGAGATTAGATATTACATAGCAATTCAGCACTCTTTTCTTTGTTCTAACGACATTTTCCTATCTCTTAATACTTTTGCTTACTTTCTGAAAGGCCTAAGAATTTCTCCAGCATTCACCGCCATATAGGAGATTCGATATTACATAGCAATTCAGCACTCTTTTCTTTGTTCCTAACGACATTTTCCTATCTCTTAATACTTTGCTTACTTTCTGAAAGGCCTAAGGAATTTCTCCAGCATTCACCGCCATATAGGAGATTAGATATTACATAGCAATTCAGCAATCTTTTCTTTGTTCCTAACGACATTTTCCTATCTCTTAATACTTTGCTTACTTTCTGAAAGGCCTAAGGAATTTCTCCAGCATTCACCGCCATATAGGAGATTAGATATTACATAGCAATTCAGCACTCTTTTCTTTGTTCCTAACGACATTTTCCTATCTCTTAATACTTTGCTTACTTTCTGAAAGGCCTAAGGAATTTCTCCAGCATTCACCGCCATATAGGAGATTAGATATTACATAGCAATTCAGCAATCTTTTTTTTCTTTGTTCCTAACGACATTTTCCTATCTCTTAATACTTTGCTTACTTTCTGAAAGGCCTAAGGAATTTCTCCAGCATTCACCGCCATATAGGAGATTAGATATTACATAGCAATTCAGCACTCTTTTCTTTGTTCCTAACGACATTTTCTCCTATCTCTTAATACTTTGCTTACTTTCTGAAAGGCCTAAGGAATTTCTCCAGCATTCACCGCCATATAGGAGATTAGATATTACATAGCAATTCAGCACTCTTTTCTTTGTTCCTAACGACATTTTCCTATCTCTTAATACTTTTGCTTACTTTCTGAAAGGCCTAAGGAATTTCTCCAGCATTCACCGCCATATAGGAGATTAGATATTACATAGCAATTCAGCACTCTTTTTTTTGTTCCTAACGACATTTTCCTATCTCTTAATACTTTGCTTACTTTCTGAAAGGCCTAAGGAATTTCTCAGCATTCACCGCCATATAGGAGATTCGATATTACATAGCAATTCAGCACTCTTTTCTTTGTTCCTAACGACATTTTCCTATCTCTTAATACTTTGCTTACTTTCTGAAAGGCCTAAGGAATTTCTCCAGCATTCACCGCCATATAGGAGATTAGATATTACATAGCAATTCAGCAATCTTTTCTTTGTTCCTAACGACATTTTCCTATCTCTTAATACTTTGCTTACTTTCTGAAAGGCCTAAGGAATTTCTCCAGCATTCACCGCCATATAGGAGATTAGATATTACATAGCAATTCAGCACTCTTTTCTTTGTTCCTAACGACATTTTCCTATCTCTTAATACTTTGCTTACTTTCTGAAAGGCCTAAGGAATTTCTCCAGCATTCACCGCCATATAGGAGATTAGATATTACATAGCAATTCAGCACTCTTTTCTTTGTTCCTAACGACATTTTCCTATCTCTTAATACTTTGCTTACTTTCTGAAAGGCCTAAGGAATTTCTCCAGCATTCACCGCCATATAGGAGATTAGATATTACATAGCAATTCAGCACTCTTTTCTTTGTTCCTAACGACATTTTCCTATCTCTTAATACTTTGCTTACTTTCTGAAAGGCCTAAGGAATTTCTCCAGCATTCACCGCCATATAGGAGATTAGATATTACATAGCAATTCAGCAATCTTTTCTTTGTTCCTAACGACATTTTCCTATCTCTTAATACTTTGCTTACTTTCTGAAAGGCCTAAGAAATTTCTCCAGCATTCACCGCCATATAGGAGATTAGATATTACATAGCAATTCAGCACTCTTTTCTTTGTTCCTAACGACATTTTCCTATCTCTTAATACTTTGCTTACTTTCTGAAAGGCCTAAGGAATTTCTCCAGCATTCACCGCCATATAGGAGATTAGATATTACATAGCAATTCAGCAATCTTTTCTTTTTTCCTAACGACATTTTCCTATCTCTTAATACTTTGCTTACTTTCTGAAAGGCATAAGGAATTTCTCCAGCATTCACCGCCATATAGGAGATTAGATATTACATAGCAATTCAGCAATCTTTTCTTTGTTCCTAACGACATTTTCCTATCTCTTAATACTTTGCTTACTTTCTGAAAGGCCTAAGGAATTTCTCCAGCATTCACCGCCATATAGGAGATTAGATATTACATAGCAATTCAGCACTCTTTTCTTTGTTCCTAACGACATTTTCCTATCTCTTAATACTTTGCTTACTTTCTGAAAGGCCTAAGGAATTTCTCCAGCATTCACCGCCATATAGGAGATTAGATATTACATAGCAATTCAGCACTCTTTTCTTTGTTCCTAACGACATTTTCCTATCTCTTAATACTTTGCTTACTTTCTGAAAGGCCTAAGGAATTTCTCCAGCATTCACCGCCATATAGGAGATTAGATATTACATAGCAATTCAGCACTCTTTTCTTTGTTCCTAACGACATTTTCCTATCTCTTAATACTTTGCTTACTTTCTGAAAGGCCTAAGGAATTTCTCCAGCATTCACCGCCATATAGGAGATTAGATATTACATAGCCATTCAGCACTCTTTTCTTTGTTCTAACGACATTTTCCTATCTCTTAATACTTTGCTTACTTTCTGAAAGGCCTAAGGAATTTCTCCAGCATTCACCGCCATATAGGAGATTAGATATTACATAGCAATTCAGCAATCTTTTCTTTGTTCCTAACGACATTTTCCTATCTCTTAATACTTTGCTTACTTTCTGAAAGGCCTAAGGAATTTCTCCAGCATTCACCGCCATATAGGAGATTAGATATTACATAGCAATTCAGCACTCTTTTCTTTGTTCCTCACGGCATTTTCCTATCTCTTAATACTTTGCTTACTTTCTGAAAGGCATGAGATTGTCCAGCATTCACTTTCATATAAGACATTAGTTAATACATAGGAGTTCAACACTCTTTTCTCCGTTTCTAACGACATTTTCCTATCTCTTAATACTTTGCTTACTTTCTGAAAGGCATGAGCAGATTTTCCAACATTCCCTCATATAGGAGATTAGATATTATTATATCATTACAATTTATATTTTATTTTTCCAATTTTACTTTTGAAATGAATCTGTCATACTTGTTGAAGTGTTCAATTTTTTCCAAAAATGTTTATATGGGGATCGAAATTGTAGATGAACTGTCCGCAACTCTTGTTTTATTCTGTATTTGTTCAAATGCTTGCAAAATCTTGCCTTTAAAAAAAAAAAATCTTGTAACACCCAATGCTTGAGACGGTCGAAGCTAAAAACAAAAATGGAAGATTATTTTTGATCGACTTTAACAAAATGAGATGCCACCGTAATTTTTAAAATAAAGAACAGATTTTTTTTTACGCAGCAAATACTTCGAGGCAATCTCGCAGTTGAATTCAGAAGGGTAAAGGAGAGTGTTGAAAATGACCCAAGGTCTGGACATCTTGCAACTGCCACCGTCCTTATCCTCCTGATTTGGCCGCATCTGACTATCATCTGTTCCCCAACCTGAAAAAAAAAACACTTGCCTGGGGAAACAGTATTGTAGTAATAATGATGTCATATCTGCTGTTGATTAGCTTTTTGACCAACAGGATGAAATCTTCGTAATCAACAGGATCAAAGCACTACAGCACCGATGGAAGAAGTGTGTGGATCGCAAGGGGGACTATATTGAGAAATAGATTTCAGAGTATTCCGTCAGCCTATGAAATTTCCAGTTGACCCTACACAGGAATTTGAACTCGACTCGCCTATTCCTCTTTTCGCATCGATAAACACTGCGCTGTCCCTACACCCCATTAAGGAATATTCACTGTAAAATATTCTGTAAATAGACTGTTCTTTGAAGCTCAAAGAATTTTGGACTGCAAATAACTGGCAACTTGAATTAGAGTGCTTGTAAACACAACTTCTAAATGTCTGGATCCAACCAAAGGTTCCGATAAGGGAATCACTCGGTAGAATGTTAATCTTATCATGGAGAAAAGAAGAAGCAGATGGTTTTAGAGTTTGTTTGGTGTAATCAAAACAGTGATCATCGCCATATTGCTGAAACCAAAATGGCCGCTATTACTACCAGATAATTTACGTAGATCTTACGACTTGAATATCTTCATTTATCCGTTATCTTTCTTCTTATTCTGTATTTTTTGTAAACAGCAAGATGAATTAATAAAATATTTTCAAATGAAAACATACGTTTTATTGGGACGAGCTGGGCAAACAGCGAGAAAAATGAAAGAATTAGAGAGAAAGAAAATGAAAGAAAGAAGGTGAGAGTAAAAGTGAGATAGGTAATTGTAACGACGACGTGTGAGTGAGAGAGAATTGTAATAACAGTGTACAATAAAATACACAGTGGGAGAAAGTGAGAGTGAGTGAGAATTTTAATAACAAAGTGCAAGAAAGTAAGAGTGAGAGGGAAATTGAGAGGGAGGAAACGAGAAGAAGGAAGAGTGACAACTAGAAAGAAAGAAAGAAAGAAAGAAAGAAAGAAAGAAAGAAAGAAAGAAAGAAAGAGATAGTAAAGGAAATGAAGTGAAAGAAATCTAATGAGAAAGTTCAAAAAAAGAGAGAGAGAAAGCAAGTGAGAGAGAAGATCAAAGAGAAAGTAAGAGAAAGAATTGTAACGACAGTGCAATAAAGAGAGAAAGAGTGAGAGATCGAGAAAGAAAGAGAGATCTGTAACAACAAAATTCAAGAAAGAGTGAGTGAAAAAGAAATTGTTCGAGAGAATTTTAACAACAAAATGCGAGAAAGAGAGAAGCAGAAGGAGAGGGAAAGCGAAATAGTGAAAATGAGACAGAGTAATAGCGACAACAAAGGGTAAGACTGTGAGGGTGAGTTAGAGAACGAGAGAGCTATTAAGAGAGAAGGCGAAAAAGAAAATGAGACAATTGTAACGAGAGAGTGCAAGAAAGAGACAGAAAGTGAGAGAGAAAAGTGAGAGATACAATTACAACAAATACATAGGTGTGTCTGAGTCTCTGAGTGTCCATGTGTGTCTGAGTGTCCATGTGTGTCTGATTGCTTGAGTGTCCCTGTGTGTGTGTGCGTATGTGTATGTGCGCGCGCGCGAAAAAGAAAACCAATGAGTGAGAAAGAGAATTGTAACAACAATCGCGCAGACATACATATGCTCATAAAGCAGGGTACCTCAATGTGGCATAATGGTTAGCAAGATTGTCTCGATTACGACTAAATAGTAAGTTCGATCCTCACTGGGTGCTTCATTCTTTTGGTCTTGTGCCACATCTTCGCTACGATGAGAAATTCATTATACGTCCAGGATGCGTCGGGTGTTTGAGAACAAATTTTAACTCGAGATAATTATACTGTTTAGTAGAGAAAACAATATATGTTTATCGAATTTAGTAGTTACACAAGACGTAGGTCTATACAATACAACCACAATCTGTTTCGATTAATGCCTCGATATATCTTCTAAAACACTCTCATGAGTTAAAAAGGTGTTCTTTATCCATCTTCGCTATGAAGTCCTCGATAACAGCCTTCGGTGAGTCCTTGGTATTGGGAGCATGCATTTTAGTCCCCCTTTCAACAAAGCCCCCGACATAGGGTTCGAATCGGGAGAGCTAGGATACCAAATTTTAACGGTAACATGGTCGTGAAATTTTCAGCTAGTCGTTCCTGGGCCTTGCCGGCTGTTTGAGAGGGAGCCGAGCCTTGCTGCTATGCGTGTCCATCCACAAGCTACATCCTGGACCCTGGGCTTGACCACAGTGTCCAGCGTTTAAGTCAGTGGTTCCCAACGTGGGACACCCGCCCCAGAGTGAGGGGCAATTTGATTTTTAATGGCAATTTGGAAATGATTTATTGACAGTAATTTTTTCTAACGAGTTTATGTGTGTGAGAGTTAATACGTACAGTGCATATACAGTATGCATACATAAAAAATATTTGTGTGTATGTATATATATATATATATATATATATACTCTCGCTCTCGACTCTCCCGTCGAATTCGACGTATAATGGTCAAGCAGATCAGTTCCTAGGAAACCGACAGCCCGACAACAGCACATGAGATTTGATTATAGTGTTAAAGGCTTCGTGCAGGACCATTCAAACTTTTTGAAGGGTCGCATACAGAGAGCTGATGCACTACGTGCCACAAATACACTATTCTGAAACGATTATATGCGTTGATCAGTTGTTGATGTTAACTATGACGTCTCTGATATGACGTTCTTGATAGCAGCCTTCGTGTTCTTGATAATGCGTGCATGCATCTTGATCTAAAAACGACGCCACAGACATGACAGAAAGCCAAATTTTACGGGTAATATGATCATGCATGTATTTGACTTGTTTATCAAAGGCTTTGAGAAGAGCACACGGTTCTCCCGGGTACCTTTGACCATGAACTGCCTTCTTATAAACGTAAAATTGTTGACCCCGACACATGTTTGGTTTTATTACATGTAAAGAGACGAAAATAGAGGGATTTTTTATGAAAAAGAGCCTAAAAGAGAGAGAGAGAGAGAAAGTGAAAGAGAAAGCGAGAGAGAATTGTAACGACAAGCAGACATACGTATATACATACATACATAGTCTGTGAATGTATTTGTTTGTAAGTGTGTGCATGTGTGAAAGAAAGAGAATTGTAACGACAAACACATATAGTTATGTGTGTGTGTGTGTGAGTGGGTCTGCGTATGTGGAAGGGAGAGAGAGAAAGTGAAAGAATTGTAACAACGAAGAGTGACAAAGAAAGTAAGAAAGAGAATGAAAGAGAAAATAAGAAAGACAATTGTAATGACAAACGCGCCGACATACCCGGTGTAACAGCAAAATTGTCCAAATCGTGCCACAGCATAATTGTCTATCCCGCAAAATGTTTGATATTTAAAAAAAAAACACTGAAATGAATGACTTTCATTTTCCAGGTTTTTAGATAAAACGTTTAATCATTTTGACACCATTTGTCGTAAGAATCACTGAAAAACCCTTTGAGTTATTCAGCTAGAAAGAAAACGGATTAAAATTGTTTTGTGTCAGACTACTATGTCTTCCCAAGTGAGCAATGGTGAGAGGAAAAAGATCATTAAGGCCTTCAGTAATGGTACCAACAGTCATACTCTGGCTTCAAGGGAATGGAAAATACGGTTAAAAAAGTGGGAACAGTAGAATGAAAAACTGGACCAGGAAGTCACAACAGGAAGATGGATCATCATCTCAATTTAGAGCTAAAGAGATCAATTTTAAAAGATCCAACTCAATTAATAAGACGTTAGGCACGTGTGAGAGGAGTTTCAGCAATGACAGCCCAAAGAGCAGTGAAAAAAAAACTTGAAAATGAAATCATACGTGAAACCTGTGAAGATGTGAAGAACCTTGTTACTCAGGTCAAAAAGGTTGATTAGATAGGGCGAATATCATACTGAATAAGATGGAAAATGATCATGGAATAATATATATATATATATATATATATATATATATATATATATATATATATATATATATATATATATGAACTTAATTTCAATCTTTCATGAGCTTCCAATCCTTAGCTATGATTAATTAATGATAAACATGTCATTTTCACTTATGAATGATTTCATCACGATTTTTCTGTTAAGCTTGGCGAGTAATTATGCATTCTTATTGCTCAAAGTAATAGTGTGGGAATTCCAGTAAGATATCTTTAATCATTTTTTAGTTACAACAGTTCAAAGCTTAATCTAACAATTGGATAAGTTTGCCGTTACACGATTTAAACAATTTCGCTGTTACACCCGGTACATGTTGAATGTGTGTGAGTGTGTGTAATTGATAGCGAGACAGTGAGAGACAGAAAGAGTGTGCACGAAAATAGATTTATACGCATGTATCGTTTTCTTCAATATGTTTTCTCGAGAGAGGGCGGGCCGGTAGACGAAATAAAATAATGTTTAAAATAAACGGAACTGCTATTCAAATACGAGTGTCCACTAAAAATAATATTTGATGTAATAAAAAAAAATCATGTCAGATTTAAAAATAAAATCCATTAATTCTTTAGAAATTGCTTTGTGTACGTCTCGGTATACAAAACTGGGCTGATATGGCTTTCGATATAAATAAGAACTGGAGAATGTGCTTTAAAGACAAATAGGGACTTGCCTGATTGTGAGGCTCTTTGTAGCCGAGCGATCAAATCACGTCAGATCAAACGGTTGTTTCTCTTAAAAAGAAACTATTTAGACTTGAATATAAAGACTAGAAAATGAAGACTGGGATGCTTCTGCCTATATAGGGCAACAGTACTCCATTTTCGGCTTCATCTGTCTCTTGTTTTATATAATTTTAATTGTTGCTGCTGTTGATATGTTTTCTGATTTTTCATACAGCTCTTTGTGATTCTTCAGCGTCAGTTCAAAATGAAGGATATTTTTCATCAAGACCCACATGCTTCACTCGCACAAAGCCATTTTTAACCATTGACCTTAGAAAACACTTGTGATGGTAACCCCATAATAGGTCATATGCAGAAACGTAATATTTAATACTGGTTTAATTACTAGCGGTTTAGTGGCGGGTAGAAACTTAAAATTAATACGAGATTTAGATTTAAATATTATTTAATATTATTATATTAATATTATTTAATTATTATTATTTTATTAATACTGGATCTTATGATGGGCATTAATTAATTTAAAAAAAAAACATCTAAAAGTCAATGATCAAATAAGGAATGACCTGATTTGAGGTATCAAATAATGAATGGCCTGATTTGAGGTATTAAATAAGGAATGACCGGATTTGAGGTATCAAATAAGGAATGACCGGATTGAGGAATCGGAGAGTAGAGTTTTAATTCCAGTCGAATACATTACATTCACTTACATGCTATTACCCTTGGGAAAGGTATGAATCCTCTACTTCTCCACCCCGTAAAGGTTAAATTTTACAAGCCACAATATGGTAATTTTCTAAGCGTAGCTTAGATGTGGCACAACGCTAAAAAAAAATAATGAAATAGCCACCCAGTAAAGATCGAACTCACAATTTAGTTGTAATTGTTCTAGCGAGACTAGCTTGCCTCCTTCCTCATTATGAGTCCAAGGAATTTCAGTTGTCTTTTCCTGATTCTGAGTAGAAGTGTTCATTCTGTTGCCATTTTCTTTAAGTCTTCCTTCTTGCTCACTCGGTCATGCCTCTCCACTTCCTATCTTTTAGCTGTTTTTCTCCCTTTACTAAAGTCCCACCTTTCCGCAACCGATTCACAAAACCTCGTCAGATGACTCGCTGTCTCCTTCTCTCTATTTCGCCCTGAATATGCCCCGTGAGGGTTAAGTTTTCCAAGCCCTCAATCCTCGTTACGTGTTCAAGGAATCGCATTTTTTTCCCCTGATTTGGAGTAGAAGTGTTCTTTTTGTTGCCATTTCTTTAAGACTTCCTTGTTGCTTACTCTATCCGTCCATGGAATTCTCAGTATCCCTCTGTAGAACCACATTTCTAGTGCTTCCAAATTTTTCCTCATACCTAGGAAGTTTGTCCAGAATTCACTACCAAATAAGATGATGGATATCACATGGCAATCCAATACTCTTTTTTTTTTTTTTTTCTAACGATTTTTTTCCGTTTATCCTCACTTTGCTTAACTTTTGGAATATTTCCTTCGCTAGTCAAATACGTATTCGGATCTCGTTGTCACCTTTTTCCATCTTCTGTTAAAACACTTATACTTCTGTGTCTGCTTGATTTTTATATCTCCAATGTGTGACTCACATCTTGGGGGTTTCTCTTGCTGATGAGAATACGTTCTGTCTTCTGGCAGTTGATAGTTAGTCCTTTTTCCCCCTAATACCCTGTCTATAGGGGGTCCTGTAGTTTTCTTTTCGAATCGGCCATCAACACAGTGTCATCTCCGTATCTTATATTGTTAAGATTATGCCCACTGATGATAAATCCTGGTAAGGTTACCTAACTTGACTTTCCTAAAATAGCCATCGCTAGGGGACGTTCCTTAAGCCTATAAATAAGCAATGTTATTCCCACTCATTCTCTTTCTCTTTTTACAACTCCAGCTATAAGATGTGGCCGTAAGTGGGGAAAAAGTGTCCTCCATAAGGGCACGTTTATTTTCAATATCTTACTTTTCTCTCGTGAGTATTTCTACTCTTTCACAGACGGACCTATCACGTAGACCTACACAAACTTCATGTACACAAACATACATTCTTTAGTTTAAATGTTTTTTTTTTAGTAACTAGTGTTTAAATATTTTCTTTTTTTGTTGTCATTGTAATACTTTTGTTAATACAGGCATTGTTTTATATTGTTTTGTGTTATTCGATTATTACTTGAACTCACTTACGAATCCGCAATAATTATTATAGGAAAAAAATATACCAGGAAACGCGTCTTTTCTACATAAACACAACAAGCATTCCCGCAACAAGGTCCCCAGTTCCCTTGAGATAGCGTCGCTGTAAAGGTTGAATAAATCTGGGAAGAAGAGAGATCCTTGTCTTACACCTCTTTCTATTTTTTTCTATTTATATGCAAACGGTTTGGGTTTTAATATAAAACTAGATCGAAATTTCAATGACGCACATTAGGGAAAGATAACAATGATAAAACATACTTGAGTTACTTCCCTTAGATTCTCGGGCGACTTTTGTTTCTTTAGCTTTATATTTATTTAATTTATAATCGTCTTTAAATAAGATATGTTCAATAATTCGCTAAAAAAGAGCATACCCTGATGAAAAAAAGCCCCAAACTTGATTAAACAATTTCTATTGACTAAATGTTTATGTTAATTATTAAGAGTAAAGACCAAAGTATATTTTGAATATTTTTAAAAAAATTTTAATCCTTTCCAGCACGTCCGAAATTTTAGCTAAAAATCTTGTGTGCGTGTGTGTGTGTGGGTGTGTAAACTAAAATTAAATCAAAATATATATACATATATATGAACTAAAATTAAATACAAATATGCATATACATATATAAACTAATATGAAATTAATATATATATATATATGAAGAGAGCGTGATAGATAGATAGATAGATAGATAGATAGATAGATAGATAGATAGATAGAATGGCCAAGCAAAGCTAAAAAGTGCGTTTAAACACAGATTTTCTCTGAATTTTGTAATTAGACATATCTGCTCAGTTTCGTATACTAACGTAAACTAAACGATGGATAGATTCTTTATTAATCTGACAGATTTTTTATTATCTGTCTATATTTCTGAGATGAGGTATTGTAAGTATTTGCATTGTTCAGACTGTTTTCTTCATCTTTCTTGCTATATTCACAATATGACTCAAGTCTAAATGTTTTTTCACCTCTGTTGATGCCAGGAATTGAACTCACATCTCTTTGGGTCAAGTCACTTGGAGAGTTGAGTTACTAAATGG